CTAATTCCTTGTCCAAACCTACATCTGCCATGCAACATTAAGTTACACCACGTGCAGGGTTTGTTTGTTTGTTTGTTTGTTTGTTTTCCTGTGGCTGGGAATGGATTGGTTGGCATACAGAAGGAACATCTTAATTGCTTATTATTCAATAATATGTTATAAATCTTTCTAAAGGTAATGAGGGCATTCATTAAGTTGTGATCACTTGATATTTGATAATCTGATGGCAGGATTTATGTTAAAATATGTAAAAGATAAATATTTGTATTTTAAAATGCCTCTCGGCAACATTATATAAATTGTTTGTGGGGAGTGCGTCTGTGTGTATATTTGTGCTTATGGCATTTCACAAGTGGATTTTTGAATAGGCAAATGGATTTTGTAATCCACTATCATTTTGCCTTCTAAGCATATTTTTGCAAGGCAGAAAGGCAATGAGATGGTTACACGAGTGGTTTAACTTGTGCAAGTTATTTATTGGTAAAGGAGATAGTAGTGTCCTAATAACAATACTTACTGCTCTTTTTATCTTTCAGAGTTTGAGCTCTGCAACCCGTGATGAGACAGAAGAAGAAAAACAGCAGGATATGGGTCTTGAGAAGAAAGTTAAACCGTTTAAGTTACCTGCTTCTTACACTTAGAGCCCACTTCTACAAACACAGCTTACTGTGTTGAGGCATCGTAAGCTCACGAAGTCCCAAGGCAAGGCTCACAGAAAGGATTTATTCCAATGGCTCTTCTGGGCCTTGCTGCCTTCAGACGATCACAAATCGCAGCAGTGTGTGGCAGCGGGGGATCACCTCTTGTTAGGCTGTGTAAAGTCCCTGCTGAGGTGCACCAGCTAAGCTGTGGTTCGGCTGGTGTTACACCTCTGTCTTGAGCTGAAGGAGTCTGTATTCCTCATCCTCTGGTTGGGGGGAGGACCATCAGATTTCTGGCATTCATAACATCAATTGTTAAAGCAGTGGTGGAAACAGAAATGGCTGGTTGCAGCAGTTCTCCATGGTAAAGGCTTGCTTTTCCCTGTTCATCACATAAAGTAGCATTAGGGGTGTCCTGAGGTTCTTCAGGTAACACTTCATACCCTTGCTAAAAAAATGTATACAGTACTACCAGTGTTGATGAGGGCAATGACCAAAACAGGCTGGGAGGCTGCAGATGAGATGCCAAATAATTTTTTTAATCCTGCCTACCCCAGTGAAAGTACAGAGAGTCTTCTCATGTCTTTGAATTTTGTAGAGATGTCTATACTGAGCTTTATGTTGTACAAAACCTTGGTAAGAAGTATTTCAGCTATCAGCTGGGAGAATTTTGCAAATCCTTGCCACTGATGTAGAGTGCATCTGGGGGTGTTGGTCAACACTTGCCTGAACATGAGCTGGCAGCATGCCCAAGTGTCCAAAAAGGCCAATGGCATCCTGGCTTGTATCAGGAACAGTGTGGCCAGCAGACCCAGGAAGGTGATCATCCCCCTGTACTCAGCTCTGGTGAGGCCACACCTCAAGCACTGTGTTCAGCTTTGGGCCCCTCACTACAAGAAGGACAGAGAGGGCCTGGAAGATGTCCAGAGAAGGGCTACAAAACTGGTGAAGGGCCTGGAGCACAAGTCCTGTGAGGAGCGGCTGAGGGAGCTGGGGCTGTTTGGTCTCGAGAAGAGGCTCAAGGGAGACCTTATTGCTCTCTACAACTGCCTGGAAAGAAAGTGTGGGGAGCTGGGGGTCAGCCTCTTCTCACAGGTAACTAGTGATAGGACTAGAGGGAATGGCCTCAAGTTGTGCCAGGGGAGGTTGAGGTTGGAAATGAGGAGATATTTCTTCTCAGAAAGAGCAGTCAGGTGTTGGAATGGGTTGCCCAGGGAGGTGGTGGAGTCACCATCCCTGGGGGTGTTCAAGGAAAGGCTGGACATGGTGCTTAGGGACATGGTTTAGTGGGTGGTGGTGGTGGTAGGGTCTTGACAAGATGTAATGTTGGTCACTTTCCTGGTAATCAGGTATCTCACAGATATCACATTTGGTTAAACTTGGAATTTTCTCCTCCTTTTTCAGTCTCTCCTTGTCCACCCTGATGAAGTTATTCTTTCTTAATAAACTGGGTCACCAGATACAGGCTGAGTTGAATGCCATCTATCCCCAACTGATGAAACTGAGAAGAGAAAATAGGAAGATAGAGGGTGAAATAGCTCTGTGGTCTCCACAGTCAGGCTGTTAACAGCTTAACTTTCTCCTTGGCAGTGAAAAGGGTGTAATTTTGGAGTGAAAACTGGCTTACTGCAATGCAAAAAATGTGTGTGTTTTCTGAATATAAGGATCCCAATTTACAAGAAAGTTAAAAAGAGTTGCACAGATCATAGAATCATAGAATATCCCAAGTTGGAAGGGACCCATAAGGATCATCAAGTCCAACTCCTGGCTCCTCCTATTGTTCCTGACAACACTGCCATCTTTTTGGAGATCTGGAGTATATTTCTTGCAAAGTCCGAAGAAAAAAATAAGTTTCCTGGAGAGGACTTTCTAACTCCCGGTGGGTAGAGGTTTGCTTAACTGAAATGAGTAAAACCATACAAATTCTCTCTTTCATCATGATGGAGGTTCTAGTTATTATTTGTCCTATGTTTCCATTAATTTTTGGCAATAGGTTCCGGGAGTTCATTTAGCATGTTCTATACATTTTCTTTTGAGGTCTCCAATGCCTGAATGCTAATCTAGGAGTAAGCACATGGCCATCAGAACATGGCCCTGATGAGACAATGCTAATTTCCTGCCATGTACCACTGTGCATCCCTGGGCTCCAAAAATGAGTAATCGCATACAGGCCCATTGGACTGAAATAGTGACTTTCTAATGTCAACTTAATATCTAATACAGAAATTACTGCTGGTTAGCAAGTAAGACATATAAACTGATACTCTTTTCTATTTCATGCAGAAAATTTTCTGACTAGGTTCTATGGTTACTGGCACAGGCAAAAGTAAGTGCTTTAAAAGGGAGAACTTGAATGTGCAAGTCATCAGAAAACACAGAATGTTAAAGAGCAGAAAAAATTGTGTGGGGTGGGTGATTATGGAATCAAATTTCAGAATTTGAAGTAACTAGAACTGATTTGGATTGTTTTGAGGAGAAAACTAAAACCAGCGCTGTTTGCAAAAGTCCTGGAGAAAAAGTTTGACATTCTTTATTTTCCTTGTCTTAATTGAGACCCTGGGGCATGTCTAATACCTCAAAGGTATTAATAGGACAGAAAATTCACTTTCTGTCAAGCTGTGGAGGTAACAGATTGGAAAGCCAAGGCAATCTTGAGGTAAGGACATAACAGAACGTGAAATGCTCATGTTTATTATTATTATTATTAAAATAATTACTTATTATATGCATTTTGCTTATTGACATATCTTCCGATATGTATTTGAGACCTAGAAAAACTGAATTTGGAAGAAAAAAAAAAGGTCAAATTTAGAAGTCTGTGTTTTATAGACTGCAGCTTTTGAAACCCAGCAGCAAATTAAAGGGAGCCAAATACTTTCATAAGTGATTTCTTCATTTAGACTGCTACAATATGGAAAATTATAGGTAATGGTAGTACTTCAAAAGGAGTGTGAGATACTACCACTAATACCCATGCTCGTGATAAGAGTTCAAGAACTCTCTCAGAAAAAGGAGGTTTAAACTGATTGCTCTGACATAATGTTTTTGGACCATGTAAATGGATGTATAATTTTTGAATAGGTGATGGATTAAATTTTGTAGGCAATTATATCTACTCAGCTCTGTTGACTTGGCAGGTAAGCAGAAAACAGAATTTGAGTTTCAATTACTACTTCTTTGTTCTGATATCATAAGATTTTCTTAAACTTTTATGAGCTGCAGGTTTGAATTGAAATTTGACCTCACAGCACAAGCTGATGGAGAAAGAGAATTTCTTCCTTCTGCTTTGAATCACATTAGACCTCTTTGCAATTTGGGTAATTAGAGATTAAGTGCACTTCAGAGTAGACTGTACTACCATTAGATACAGAATTGCTTATATAACATTTAGTCCTTGTTACTCATCTAGAGCCCAGCATTGAATCAGACCGAAGGATGCTTGCATTCAGTATGACTACAGTATAAAATAACGTTTTGCTACAGCAGTGAGGAAAAGAGGCAACCTTTGCTTGCTCCCATTATAAAATCTGAATGTAATCTGAGTGCAGAAGTGTCAGAAATTTCTATGTTATCAAAGCCTACTAGTGGATTTTCCACTAAAGATCCTTTTCTGAGATGTTTTGGCTTTGTAACGCATCACAGCAAATGAGTTCTTAAAAAATACATAATCCTTAAGAGCAGCTCTGTCAACATTTCAGATGTTGCAACCAACCAATTCAGGTCTCTTAACTGAGGGGACAGTGGTTGCAGGATAATTGCCTTGTGGCATATGTTTTCAAAGTCTTTACTTATGCTTGGCAGAAATTACATTATCCACAGCTTTGGAAAGAACTTTTGGCTGAAGTTTCTGGCGATGATCAACCTCATGAATATAGTTATGCCCAGAGGGTAATTAGAGTTGAAGTAGACCATGATACTTTGGAGACTTTTATTTCTTATGATGATAGCATTCTCTGTCTGTCACCTCCAAAGTTTTAAAGTTTGTGCATGAGGCTACAAAATATTTCTGCAATTAAAAATGCCTGTCTTTTGGATTATAATGGGCTCTTTACTGCTGATCTGTCAGTTGGATTAGTCGCAACTGCCACAATTTTATCATGCATGCAAACAAGGATTTTAGCACTTACTGGTATACCATTTGCATCTCAATGCAATGTGCCCATGACTAATACTTGTTTGCACAGATTTTCATATAGCACATCTGAAAAAAAAAAAATCCAATAACTCTAGAAGAAGGTCTTGAAAACTCTCACAGAGATTAAGGGTGATTTCCCACTGTAGTATATTGCATGCTTGATTAACTTCTGATCAAGGAGGTTCTGAAAAGTAGAAGCCTCCTGTGATACCACACACAGGTGACAGGAGAGGTTAAATAATCATCACCTGGCAGAGTACCCACTAGAGGCAAACTAGAGAGCGTAGGGTCAAGGTTTTATGAAGCTGAGAGGCAGGTGACAGCGGGTACTACTACCTCTGTGTGTGTGTGGCAGATCATATTTTGGCCAGGATCAAGCAAGTAACCAAATTTTGATGTGACTATATGTCAGTAGATCTCAAAAACTTAAGGAAGGCAGAAAATGTGTGTCTGAGAGAAGGACATAACAGGCAGATTTGGAGTGTGAGAAGATCAGAAAGTCTTTAAGACTGGAAGATTTGTGTTTCAGTTGCTATTGTAACTGATATTTTATTTATTTTTGCAATAGAGATAGATTATCAATTGCTCTTACCTGGTCTTTCCTGAACTTTCCCGGGAATTGATAGATCAGGAAATAACAGGTAACCACTGCTTAGTGTGAATAAATACTGTTCATTGCACCTATTCGGTATCTAAGATGTGCTAGCACACAATCTGTATGTATAAACCAACCTTTGTAAGCAGGCATCAAGACCATGTGGGGCCTTGAGGTGTTTGGAAATGTGATAAAGGATTTGCTTTGCACGATAAAAAAAAAAAAAGGAAATCGAGCCTCCATCATTGTAACAGAAAAGTACCTTGTCCACTTTGCCACTATCAAGGCAGTCGTTGTATCAATATCCTAGTCCACTGGAGTATGGCATATCAAAAAACAACTTCTAAATGTTTTTGAAGTGATCTGTTGATGGTCTATAGTATCCATTTGTATTAAATTGAAATGAAATGTGCTCTAAGGAGTTAAATGCCTTCAGAATGCCTAATGTATATTGTATGCTTAGTTACCTGAAAAATCCAATTTTGATTTCTTATCAAGTAATGATTTGAAACTTGTTTAAATGAACTTATTTCCTAGGAGAAAAACAAAACCAAAACCACATTAATTATATCACTGTCCTGGAATAACTCCATCTGGGGCAATAGCATAATAACTTTTCCATTTACCTGGGGGGGATTAACAGGAGCCCGTTGTAGTCTACTGGGTTATCCCCCTCAGCCTCAATGACTGACAAAATGTTTGCATTCTGCAATCCTAGTAGTATTCAAAGTATAGTCAAACAAAAATTTGTTTCCCTGGACCAAGGATCCCCCATCAAGATTTTCTTGTTTGTGTACAAGATATTCACGCCTGCTGATCATTTTCATAGCTTCTGTCTTATTGAATACTGCATAGTGGAGTGGTAAACAGCTTATTTTTCTCTTATAAAATGAACGTCTCATTCTGCTTCTTTCCAAAACTAGAAAAGAAACATCAGTGCTATGCCTCTGTCTTTTCTCCATCACCATTCCTGCACTAACAGCCTCATGGCTAATGAGCCATCCTATTGCAAGGATTAATGTCTGGTATATGCAAATTTCTTCTTACCATTCTTAGCTCTGCCAGTCAAAATTTCTGTTTCTGTCATTAGTTTTTCTTTGTTTGACATGTATCACCTTACAGGTTTCACTTTACCAATAAAAATGATGGTCTTTTATCCAAAGTTATACTTTTTCCTCAATGGAAAATCAGGAAACTTGATTATCTAATCAACAGCTCTTGCAGAACTCCAAGTTTTCATTCACTGTTTTCTCTCTAAATTTTCTGTCACATTTTTTTCTCTCTCAAATTTTTCAGGATTAAATACCAAAAATAATATTACATGGAGCTGTTTTCCCTGCATATGTAATCTGGTTATGATCACAGTGATTTAACTGTTTTTATTTGTCATTAAAAGGTTCAGAAGTTAGAAACAAAAGTTAGAAAGTGTTGGAGAGTTATAGGGGCAAATAGGGATTCAGTTATGCTGATCATCCAAAAAATAATAATAATCGTGGTTGTAAATAATGAAGGTAGCAAGGTTTTTAAACAAATTCCCTGAACTTTTGTACTAGGAGATTTATTGGACAAAATGTAAAATTGTAAAAATGTCAGTAATCACAGTACACTTTTTCTGAATATGGCTCCACATACATATTGTCTGTCATAAACACTATAAATACCTATTTTTCAGTCCACTCAGTTTGCAAGCCTGCCAGTTAGATTTATACATTTTATGTCTCTATTGACTTGAGGAGGATGGAAATTAGAGAGAAACTGAAAGCCTAAAAGATGCATGGAGTACCAGTGTAACCCTGCAGAACTGCAGAATCATTTTTAATGGCTATTGATTGCTAACAGCAGAAGGCAGAGTTTAAATCTCACGTGATGGCAGTAAGTGTCTATATCTGTTTACCAGCCCTGTATCAATTAGAGCCACACAGTGCTAATGGAGCCAACGAAAACTTGACTCTTTTGACTTCACTTGAAAATGCCATTGCAGAGCTTATCACCAAGCTAAAGCTTTTGTTTCTCTGCCCTGAATGAGGGAGCACCCTGTTGGACACATCCTGGGTATAGTCAGCTGTAGTAGGAGGTTTGCCCATGCGGAAATCCACTACAAAAATATCATTTTAAGAATGCCAATAGAGAGAAAGAATTTAAAAAAAAAAAAAAAAGAGAGGGGGAAAAAAAAAAAAACACCACCAACAAAAACTTTCATTTGTAACAAGATCCTGATCCTAATGCCTAGGAAACTTTGGATGAGCTGAAGCTCTCTGGACATGTTTAAGCTCTATACCTGCCTCGTTCAAATACTAGAGTTTTGTTCCCCAAAGCTCACATTTAATACAAAACATTTCTATTTTTATCACCTATTCATAGTTCTTCAGTCACACTTCTGATTGGTATTTTTATTCCATTAGCAATCCCTCTATTCTTAAACGATCTATAGAAGGAGAAGAGGCAAGCCTTGTGTAATTTTTCTTCCCATGGCATACAGATTTGGCAGCTTGGGGTAGGCTACATTAGTTTAAAAAAGCTTCTTTCTCCTGTAAATCCTTTTCCTAGTGATCTAGAAAATTCTTTCAACATCTTCCTTTTCCAGTTACTTAAGGAAACCTTAAGAAAATATTTTAATCTGCCCTGAGAAGCCCAGAAAATGTGAAATGGTGGCTGGAAATCCTGCCCCAGCTGGGTACCCACCATTGCCATGGTCAGTGGTGGCTGCCTCCTGTCCTGATGAGGTTCTGCTTGCTTTCTACGGAGCGAGAAAGCCCCCAGATAAGAAATGTGAATCAAGGATGGAGTCCATATAAGCAGTCTCACCCTGTCTCTTGCAGCACTTCCCGTCACCCTGACTGTATGCTGAGGGTGTCCTTGGCCAAGGATACTCCAGGCCTAGTACATGGAACAAAACTTGGATCTTTTGTATCTAAAAAAGTAGTTGCAGAAGAGACCTTTTATCTTGAAGGTTTAAGAGACTAAATAAACGACTTTAAGCTATTTAATTGGCAGAGAGGGGATGTGGTGGGTTACTGGGTTACACAGAGATGGATATTATTTGAAGGGGGCAGCTTTAGGACAGGAGCGAGTAAGATCAGTGCACTCATGGATTGATGTTGAAACCAGATACAGTCAAGATGATCTCCAGGGTATTCTTCCTGATCCTTTTTATTACTTTGTTGTTGAAATTATTTTCTAATAGTATTTATTGTCTCACGTATCACGTTCCTATCTCTTGAAGAAACAGGCTGCCCAGTCTTTCATCTTCTGGTTGTACTTCTTTGTCTCATTACACATTGTTTTTATGAAGTATTTGATCACATCTTCCAAAAAATTTTTAAGTTTTGGGTATCTTTCTAAAAGATTTTTTTTTTCCAGTTCAGCCAAGATATTTTGGGCCTAAGGCAAAAACTATTAAATTAACTTCTGTCATCTCTACAGTGACAGAAATCAGAAAAGTTGTTAACTGTTGTGATGGATAATAGTGGGCCATAATAATGCATAAATACACTGTTGACTTTGTTATAGGGCAGTTACTGTATGAGTGCATTGATTTAGTCTAAAAAGAGGCTGCAAGGAAACAATGACTCAAGATAAGCCATTCCACAGGAATAGGATAATAGAAGACCAACTGGCTCTCAGAGTACTGGCATGATTTCCTGCTGAGACTATTGGACTGGTTTTGTCTAGAAGGGCAAAAGCCCAAGAACTGACAAAAACAAGAGGACTCCCTCGTTCCAGAGAGGAGCTAGTTATTGGAGTGGGAAATCAGACTGGTCTCAAGGCGTACGGGGCCCCATATATAGAAAAAGACTGTCACAGCAGATGCTAATGTAAGCATAAACATAGTAAGGACTAGGATGATGTTAAATATAAATGTACATGCCCTTTTTGCTGTGTTTAAAGCAATTTGCTGGATTTCTATTATTCTGTCGTAGCTAAGGGAGCTTCTTCCAGATCTCTAACTTACAGTGCCCTCTGAGCAGATGCTTTGTTTTAAGGTCTTTTTCTATCCTTTCCTTTAGAAAAACCTGGTTTGCAATGAAGCCACTGGGGTTACTACCTGTAGTACACCAACAGCTGGCAGGAGCTGCTGGCACAGCAGTGCTGTGATGTGGCTCCCATGTGGTGATTTGTGGCCACATCAGTCACGATTCACTTGCTCTCCTGTCGCTGAGGAATTTTCCCAGGAAATTTGTCACCTTGCTTTCACGATTGCTCATCTATACAAATTCAAAATTGTCCACACGCACCACTTGTAAACTCAATTTTGTCAAGTATTAGGGACCTTAAGCCCAAAGTTAACTTACCAGGTGTTTCTGAACTGTGGCTGTCCATTGTATATGTTTGCATCAGTATTTAGTGGCATAACAAGAATTTTGAAAAAGCTCTATTGGTAGGATGCATTTTTGGCTTTGCAGTCTGGAAGTACTTGCCCCAAACTCCTACTGACCTCTATGTGAAAAAGAATTAATTTCCATTAAATATTTTGAAGTTGTTATATTTTAAATTGTTCCTCTGTTTATATGATAATTCCTCTGTCAGATTCCTTACTTATCATTTAATCTTTTTATCTTATCTTTTTATCACTTATCACTGGCACATAACCTACACCATGCACCTGTCCTAGACTAATGCTGGTTTTCACATCTGCAGCGTCTGCAATGCAATGCACCCATCCCATTAGTAGCCATTACGGGAGACTGAAAGAATTCAGTTTGCACCTCAGCCCAGCTGGAGAAGAAAACACTGGCATTTCTGCAGCAGCAACCACTGTGAAAGTAAGCTGGGACTTCAAAAAAAAAATTGTTCTATCTGATACTTTTTAGAGCAGAGAACAAGTGCAAGCCTTCCACTGTCTTTTATTTTATGCCAGGAATACAGAGACCCTCAAGTGCCTGACTTCTGGAGACTAGTACGTGTGTGGGAGCTATTCAGGAATCCTTTTCAATTACAGTTGTGTTGTGATAGTCTCTGACTGCTGATTGTTAATCTTCAGCAAACTCTGTCTTGTCTTTCTAAGGCTGTTATTAAAACTCTTACTGAGAGAAGTAAAAGTACCGAGGAAAAGAATGCTAAAATTCAGAGTGTATGTATGCATTTCCAAATGTACAGGTATACTATAATATCCTATTTCTGTTGTTATTACCAGCAGCAGTAGAAAATTAAGGTAAAAGCTGATTTAGCTTTCCAATATTTGTATAACTACTCTGAAAGATGGCCTCGCAATTTCCTCAAAGAACAGATGGATGATCTCGGTGAGGTCTCCTCAGCAAGTACACGGGTACGTGTCCTTAGGTATTCTGCTGTAGTCTGACATTGGTGAAACTGAAATGCCTACACTAGACTTTCTCTTTTAACTGAGATTGTCCACAGTGCCAATGTCTAACGCTACTTTAATTCTTTGAATGGCAGGGACCAGTGACAAACATACGAGCTGATTTTTGTGTTAGTAGTTCACAGGTAAACATCCATTTATGTTCATGTACTGACACTGACTGCAGGCAGAAGCTCTGCAAGAAAGTACACGTGAGCCAACCATTGAAGAAGACAGATAGCTGGGAGAGATCCACAGATGATCCTACTTACTGCCTGTCACTTTATGAGAAAGTCAATACATAAAATTAGTTGCTATTTTGAGGTTGGGCTTTTGATTGGAATACAACTTCAGCAGCAGAAGGGCAAGCCCTTACTCCATGACTACTGGCAAAATGGACTTGCATGGAGCCAAAGACGTGAATGTGAATGTGGACATGAGCCTCTTGTCTTGTGCTGGGCTCTGCATGAATCAGCTCCATGATTTCCCCTTACATTTGATAGTTTTCTGTTTGTTTGTTTGTTTTTTGCGGGGGGAGCAATATGACAACAGTGATAATGGTATTTTTGCATATAATTTCTGTGCCTGGTCTATATATCTGATATATTTCTTCTTCATCAGGGAGGCCTAGATGAAGTAGACAAGTAGAGAGCAGACTTTTGTTTAGAGCAGGTGCTTAAATACATGTGTGTACACACAAATGTACCCACACAGATGTGTTTTCATCTCATCCTGTTGCTGATGCAGAATCTTTGCAGTGGGATGAGTAGTAGTTTTTTTGCTGCCAGGCTTCCTCCATATTTCTGCTGTGACCAAATCTGGCCATACCTCTATTCATCTTCCTTATATTTTTATGTAGTGCCTGTATTTATGATAAAGGTTGTTCTGCTATGCCAAAGAAAACCATAAGCCTGTGCATCTTTGTTCCTGATACTGAGTGCCTTTCTCTAACTCTTGTAGAAGGGCCCCCTGTTGAGCCAAATTAAGGCCTTTCCATGCTTCACTTGCTTCCATGTTATTCTAAAGCCTTTCTGCACACAAAGGGGCATTGCTATAGTTTATGCACATGGTAAGATGGAAATGAGGGGTTCGTATCATATGTTTGTCAAATACCTTTCCACATGGCACTTCCTCTTTTACCAAATGCCTGGGATTACCAGAGCTCTTGGAAAAGTTAACACACCCGAACACGCATGCAATCTGGCTATCGTGTTCAAGGACTGTCAGCTATAGGCATGCAGTAGGGGGAAATAACCCTTTTAGCTTTTAGGAATCTTCTTTTTCCCAAAATAATGCTTCTCTGAACAAGAAACCAAAAGGAGCACCTCAACAGGAGAAGAAGGAATTAGTGGAAAGGTTTTGCAGGAGGAGGACCATGTGGGACAGAATTGTTTTCATAAGACAAGCCACTACTGACCCAGAACTGCTGGAGACTGGCCCACCAGAAGATAATGGAGGTAACCCTCCTCACAAAGGTGTTGAACCCATGGAATTGGATTGACCCCAAGACAAAGAGGAGCCTATGGACATTGAACCATCTCTGGTGCTACTGCTGCAGTGGGACACCACAGTCAGCCTTCAAAAAGATTTCCTGGTGAAATTTTTACCCTTCTAGATATTTATTTTTCATGTTGAGTAGAGGGAGATACTTGGGAAATAGCTTTTTAAAAAATATTTTCATAGTCTCTTAATCTGGAATTTCCCAATCTGAGAGTTTAATTTCACATTTCTAGGCTTGCAAGGATAAAGAGGTAAAAATATTTTCCTAATGCTAGCTGTGTAGTACCCTGGGTTCTTGACCAACTCCGTATTTCTAAACTGGATGCTTGTAATGCCCATAGCTCTTTGCCAATATCTCAATGCTCACACAAGTTGTCCCATGCTCAGAGCAATGATCCAAAAGTAGCCCAAGAGAACTGTGTCTTTTTTTATTTATCTTTAAGAAGAGATTGCTCCTCAGAGGTTTATTGCTCTCTTCAGGTGCCTAGAGGGAGGGAGTTGAGGAGATGAAGCCAGGCTCTTCTTGGAAATGAACACTGACAGGACGTGGGCAAGAAGCACATGTTGCAACGTGGGAAATTCTGATTAGACATTAGGAAAGAAAATGATTATGAAAGTGGTCACACACTTAAACATGTTGCCCAGAGAGCCCATAAAATCTCTACCCCTGTAGATGTTCAAAATTCAAGTCGATGAGGCTCTAAGGAACCAAACCTAGGATTAATGTTGGCCCTCCTTAATTATGAGGCTGGACCATCTCCTCCAGATTTCCCTCCCAATCTGAATTATTCTGCCATTTGAAAGCATCAGGCCTACAAACCTGCTTGTCTGAGGGTCTCTTCAAAATTGCCTTTGCACAAAAAAACATATAGCTTCAAAAATTCAATATCTGCACCTATATTCTGGAAGTCCTAGGCAGCTTTGTTCTTCCAAATAAATTGTCAACCCACATAATGAGGGAACAGACAGGGTTACATAAAAATTGATAACTAAACCTTGTTAAACAAAATTTCCAAATGCCCTTTTTGAATCCATTCCCTTTATAAGGGTCTTATACCCATCTCAGTTTTGCATGGCACATTATCTGCTCTGACAATTAAATCATTACGTCAGTTAAAACAAGCCCATAAAACAATGTTTGGATAACTTACATGTCTTCAATATTTTTCTAGTGGATTTTTGATTATTATTATCTTTTTTATTATTTTCCTTACAGAATAAGGGGAATCAATCCTAGTGTTGTAAGCAGACATTTCTGGAATCACAGAAAAGTGATCGTAGATTAAGCAGTTCCATTCACAGTGGCTAGTGAGAGGCATGAGAGGTATCTTCATAACATATTCAAAAGTAACTAGCACACATATGTTTCAATGTGATCACTTTGTGTAGACCTTATTTTTCAATCTTCTGTTTTTATAGAAGGCAATTGTGTGAATCTACTTGAAGTCAGATTGTCAGATTTCAAACCTATCTGTACTCTGTCTTTCTGTGTCTGGGAAAAAAAAAAAAAAAGGAGTATAACTACCTGTAAGTATGCTGTAAGGACTATAAAACATCTGGTCAACAGCTGCTTTCTAAAGACAGTTATTCAGATAATCTCACTGAACAGTTTTAGGGTGCTGTCTAGCAACAAATGGCAGAAACAACCTCATTATGGCCTGTGCCTAATGATAGCCAATATGTCTCTTTTTTTTAAGTACTTAACACCCAAAAATATGTAGCAGGGTATGTTTCCTGGGCATCTTCACTGCATTAATGCTTAGAAGCCTGCTGCCTGTAAAAGTTGTTCTGAAATCCATTTGCAAAATGGATTGTTTCTTGTTAAGGACGTACATTCCCTTTGGTTGCTTGCCATGGAGGGAAGCAGCAGGTCACAAGTTATGTGCAAAATTGGTAATAAGCCCATGCAAAGGAAATAAATACACCACAGCATGTTGCCAGCAGTTTCTGGAACCTTGCTCTGCACTTGCACATCATATCTTCAAAGCTCTGAGGGAAACTGTTGGGGTGGGGGATGATCAGGCGTACCTCAGAAAAATATTCTCTCAATCACTTGCACCATTTCTTTAAAATGAATGAAAATCTGAAGAACACTCTTGAAACGTGTATCTCACATTTAAACTCCCTGTGGGCTTTGTATTTAGTTTGAAGACAAAACCAGAGTTCTCTTTTCTAGAAAACCTTGAGAAAGCAGACCTAAATACTTGTCAATCTCTCACCTTGTTGATAATTTCATGAAAACATGAAAAGTCTTAGAAAATAGAGAAAAACAAACAAACAAATAGAACAGACAGAGCCATTCTGCCTAATCCTCTGCCCATCAGCTGAACCAACTGTTCCCAAACCATTCCTGCCACAACTGTACCTAACCTGTTCTCATGTCCCCAAATAGCTCAGAGCCTCCCAGACTTTCCTTTCAAAGCTTTGGTGGTGTTGCTCATAGTATTGTGCCAATGACTAACTTACCTCAATTCCTGAAAATAAAATACATACTTTTATTTACTGCAGAGATGGTGTCGTCCTTTAAGTTTCTGAAGACTGTTCTCAGACTAAATTCAGCCCGCCTCCCCCCCCCTTCTTTTTTTTTTTCATGGGCCATGTCATCATGTCATCAAGGAAAAGCACGTAAGTGACAGAGTTGTTGGAAACTCTGGAAAGCTGTACTTCACAAAATGGGATCTGCTGTTTTGTGCTGTAAATCAGCCATATGCTGTACTTGATGAGGTGAAGATTCATTTGAAGTCTGTCTCACATACTATCTGGTATGTATTGCTTCTGTATGTAAATGTCTTTAAACAGGCTTATATCCTAGTGTACAGAGAAGCTGTATGTCTACAGTAGATTTTATTAGGAAATGGTAAGAAAAAAGGCAGATTTTCTCTTAAAAAGTAAAACAAACAAACAAAAAAGTACATATGGCTCTGTATATCTCAAATCTATAAAGATAAAGTACTGTAAATGTTTCTGTGCCATCCTCTACTGTTGAGTCATCACATGTGTGGTACTGTGATTATAGGTGCAAAAGAACTTCAGATTCAACTGTTTTAAAATGTTTTTCTCTACTGTATGAAATTAAGTCAATTAGACAACAGAAGAAACAGTCAAGTAATGGAAAGACTACAAAATGCACACACAAAAATCACCTTCCAATTTAGTTAACTTCAGTCATAAGTGGATATTGAGAGCACAACCATCATAAAGGAAAAACTGCATGCAAAGAATAAAGACATGAATAAAGAATAAAGTGTCAAATTACAATTGAAATTTGCCCCTATTTCTTTTAATATCCTTAGGGTTAAAAAATAATTCAAAGTCTCACCTCCAACTTTTCTTGCTTCTGTTAAGAATCAGACTCCATAGTAACACAACAGGTTTTTTGGTTTTGCTTGCTTTGCTTTGTTTTATTTTTTTTTGTTTGTTTTCCAGAGGTTTAAATTCCTTTTTACCTCTCTGTGAGAGATTTTTGGGCACTACAATATGCCAGAGTGCATGTGAGTGATACAAATAAATACTTTTTTCTTTTTACAGTACAGGCTATATCTGAAAAGATATGAAAAAAAATGAGATACTACACAGGAAAATTAGCTTTATAAAAACGTTACTCCTTTGATGTAACTCAAAGTGGATTTACATCAAAATATTTTCAGAGATGGGTTACATTTTAAGTTCACAATAATCATTATAATTTTGTCCAAAGTGAACATGCAATGTAAATCAATACTGGAAATCACCTTAACAGGCTGCTAGGCCAAGAAGACGAAAGACCTTATTGACGTCCAACTTGGCCTTGGAGAACTGTAATTACTTTAGGATTAATTAAGATTGCACAAAAGAGCAATGTTTTCATTATGCAGCAGGGAAATTTTTCAGACACATTTGCTTGTGTCAGAGCTCAGCCATTTGTGCGTACTCTCTCCTCTGCAATCTCAGTAGCAGCAGAGCTAGAATGACAACATTTGGAGTCCACAGTCACATATTTTTGGTGCTATGACAAGTCCCAGCTGGAAAGTGGGTTGCACAGCAACATAACGAAGGAAGTATTTGGAAGAAGCATTCATCCATTTCAGAACTTCAATCAACTTTCAGGCCATAGGACTGCTCTGCATTCTTTGCTACCGTCATGGGTATAAAGGCCATAATGGGATGTTCTACTCTGCCAGCATGTAGGGAGTCTCATTTTAAACATAGTAAAAAAAAAAAAAATCCACCTACAAATCCTGATTTTAAGTATTAAGAATAATGTGAAGAGCAAAAGAGTGTTGCTTGATTCTAATAAGCAGTTAAACTACATCCCTCAAGTGTCGTTCCCCCCTCCCTCCCCCCCCCCCCCCCCCCAAAAAAAAATACTGTGACCAAAGAAAAGTAGTGGACCAGATGCTCCCCACCACTCCATTCTGTGCTAT